GCCATAACAAATGACCCCACTCTGTGGCTTCAACGGAAATTCATCCTCTCACGTTCTGGAGGCCAGAAACCCAAGTCAAGGTGCCCTCTCTGGTTCCCCTGAAGACTTAGGAGAGGACCCTTCCCGGCCTCTGTCGGCCTTCGGTGGCTCTGGGCATTCTTGGGCGGTGGCCATATCACACCAGTCTCTGCCTCCGTTTTCACATGGCCGTCTCCCCCGTGTCTTCTGTCTCTCTTTTTTTAAAAACAATAATTATTTTATTTAACCTTATTTATTTATTTTTATTTATTTATCTTAATTAGACCAGAATTGGGAGGGAAAGAAAGTAAGCCTCCAGGTCTGGGACTCGAACTGTGGTTGGACATGTGGGAGTCCAGCGTCCTTAACCACCACGCCACCTACCAGCCCCTTCTGTCTCTTCTAAATATACTTGTAGTTGGGTTTAGGGCCCACCTGAACAATTCAGGTGATCTCATCTTGAGATCCCTAACTTCATCACCTCTGCGAAGACCCCTTTTCCAACCAAGGTCACCTTCACAGGTTCTGGGGACTAGGGCAGGGATATAAATTTGGGGGGGGTCATTGTTCTGTACAAGGGCCCAAGAGGGTTGTGTGAGGATGGCTGAGCTGTGAGTTGCAGTCACTTCCTGTGATGGGCCGCTGGAGCTCACGTGGATGTTTGCACATGTCCCAACTCATCAGATTGTACACATTAAGTAAGTGTAGGCTTCTGTATGCCCCAGCAAGGCTGTTAATTTTTTTTTTTTTTTGGCAAGATTTTTGCTATCGGACACATGCACTTGCTAGAGAGACAGAGAGACAGAAAGCAAGAAATCGCCCCCCAGGAAAATGGCTTTGGGCACTCACACGCACACGCCTGGCATGAGTTTAAGCTGCTGAGTCCAGGACTCGGGCTGCAGTGGACTGTGGGAGTCCAGTGACGTAACCATTACACCATCTGCTGGTCCCAAGGCTGTTAATTTTCTTAAATAAGGGCGAATTTGGGGGCCGGACCCAGAGTCCTAGTAGTTAGAGCTGGATCCCTTTAAAAGGAGTGCTTGACCTCACTGTTCGGATCCTGGCTCTGGCGGCTTGAAAAACTCACTGGGCGAGAGGGAGGAGAGGGGATTACGGCAGGACCGCGCCCCATGGAGGGGTGCTTTCTTCCTCTGCCTCTTT